TTTTGTCAGGTTTGTGTGTTTTGGGTGTGCAAGGTGTGGAGGTGAAGGAATTTCCACCTTGTAATTTCAGAGCAGTTTATAACTTTGGTGATTCTAACTCTGATACTGGTGGTGGCTCAAGCTGCATTTTGGCCAGCAGGGCCTCCATCTGGTGAGGCTTTCTTTGGTAGGCCGGTTGGAAGGGGCTGTGATGGGCGTCTGATAATAGATTTCATTGGTAAAAACCATGTTGATTTACTCTCTTTGCATTTCTACAACCAGCAAAAAGTATGGTCCATGGAAAGGTCCTTCCTTGTTCAGTTAACTTATTTTAGGTTTTATGTATGCAGCTGAGCATCTTGGATTGCCTTACTTGAGTCCATACCTAGATTCCGTTGGAACAAGTTTTAGGCATGGTGCAAATTTTGCCGTTGGAGGATCAACCATTAGGCCACAAAATGAATCAATGTCTTTAAATGGAGTAAGTCCATTCTCACTCGACATCCAGATTGTACAATATGATCGATTCAAGGCTCGCACCAGCTATTTCTACAGTCAAGGTTATCCCGAAAATCGCCATTAACACCAGTTTTCTTGTCAGATTTTATTCTACTAGACTCAGGAAATCATGTGTTTTGAGTTTTGGTTATGGTGTTTTCAGTCAAGAGGAATTCCCACCGAAGCAATCTCCCTAGACCTCAGGACTTCTCCAAGGCTCTCTATGTATTTGATATTGGCCAAAATGACATTGCTGCTGGTTTGAGGAAGAAGAATGACACAGACTTTCATCTATCAGTGCCAGACATAGTTGAACAGCTAGCCAAAGCAGTCCAAGTAAGTTTGAATTGATTCCATATAGGATTTCAAGATTAAAAAGAAAAATCAGAACTCTAATCAAAATCATGGGTGTTTGATTTGCAGATTCTCTATGAACATGGGGCAAGGACATTTTGGATACATAATACAGGCCCAATTGGTTGCTTGCCTGTGAGGCTGCATTATCATGATATTAAGCCTGAGGAACTTGGCAAGCATGGCTGTCTCAAAGCTCAAAATGACCATGCTATAGAGTTCAACAGGATGCTTAACGACGGAGTGATCAAACTAAGGGCAGAGCTACCACATGCAGCATTAACATGTGTGGATATTTACGCTGCAAAGTATGAACTGATCGGCAACGCAAAAAAGCAAGGTAAATTATATGCAGAAATTCGTCCTGGTTGTCAAGTGATTATACACAAATCAATGGCCATTTCATTGGACCCTTAAATCTACTAATGTTAAAAATTTTAATTTTCTTTTGCCTTGTAGGATTTCTTGATGCTGCAGCGATTTGCTTTGGATTTCATGAAGATGACATTCAGGTATACTGTGGCCACAAAGAAAACATAAATGGTATCGAAATCCCTGCCGGTTCTTGTGGAAATCCTTCCAAGTATATCAGCTGGGATGGTGTCCACTACAGTGAGGCTGCTAATCGATGGATTGCTAATCATATAATCAATGGTTCATTTAGCGATCCACCTCTGCCAATTACACAAGCATGCCGTAAAGCCTAGTCTTGAGTAATTACTTTGACACGTGTATTCATAATTCATGATTTTCAAGGTCAGTTAGCCAGTATCCTCCACTTTTCACTTAGGCAAGATTCAATTTCAACCAAGAGAATGTTCAGCTATGCATAAATTTTTCTTTTGAACCAACTAAACTAAATTTCGGATTCAATTTTTTACAATTTAAAGCAGAAAAAATTATCAGATTTTTTTTATCAAGCTTCCATATTTACCTGCAAAAGGGAGGTCAGCTTTGATAAATTTTCCTATATTCTTTAAAGCTAACTTATTGCAGCTCAGGAACAATGGCCACCCTTTACTAGTAATGAAGAAGCACTAAAGAACTAGAAGTAACAATAGGGATATCAGTGTCAATCTTTCATTACTAAGCCAATACACAGGGCGTGAAAATTAGGGTTCAGATTCACATGTTTAAACACCAGCTATAGCTCTAAATTATACACATTTATACTATTGTCGATGTCCTAATGGCAAGGCAACCACCTTGTGAAAGGGTACTGTCCTCTGAGGCAAAGCTCCGTCTTCCTCATCATCATCGAATTCCAGTAAATACCTAGACAAGAAAAAAAAAATGACAACATAAAACGGAGAGTCAGAAATGAAAAGTTCATGCTTGTTACTTTCCATTGTTTATGGAAGAAGAATAACAAAACAAGGAAGAGTGTAAACAGGCCGAAAAACCAGTTTTTATCGCATGATGACATGTAACATATTTATCTAATATGTTTTCCATTTTCTTTTCCAAGAATCTGCTAGACAGGGCCAGAATGGAGGATGTTACTTACTCATCTGATTTCCTCTGGAAAGATATAGAATGGTTGATAGCCCCCCAACAGATGTGCACAAGAAATTAGTAGTCAGATCAACATATAAGAAAATAAAAAGAATACTTTAGCAAATCTATGAAAGAATAAAAACCAGAGCAAATGATCCAAAATTATATATTGGGGTACTGATGACAGTGATGACTGGAATAGTCACCTTTCGAGGAGTATTGATGACAGTTGCCTTATAGAGCGCAGTTGTTCCTGGATAAACTGCCAAAACATGTTTTCCAGCTGGGAATTCTTGAGCACTAGAAAAATCATTTCGCTTGGGGAAAGGTATAATGCAAGAAGCAGGCAGCTTGTACCTGCAGTTACAATAACAAAAATCAACATCTTGCAGATGGACTAATTTCAGTTATTTAAAAAATTGAAAAAAAAAAAAAAAGCTTTACCCAGCAATCACCAAGGCATAGTATTTCATAAGAGTTTCCATCAAAGAATTTGAGCCCTCAATATATTTATACTTTTCAAGTTTTCTCGAAATTATAGTTAAAGCATGCTTCCATTACAAACAATTTCTTATCTTTTAAACTGGAAACGGAAGAAAAAAGGCCAACTAATCTGGTGCCGTACAAGTAAATAACTTACTGATCTCAAATTCCAATATCAATCTATCATAACAAATAAAACATGATAGAGTCCCCCCTTACAAGTAAAAAATGAGCATGAACAAGCATAATTTAGAACAATTATTTCAATGTAACCTAACTTACAAAGAACTAACGCATAAAAGCTTACCGTTGGCCACTGCCCTCTTCATCATCACCTGGCTCCTCATCAAGTACTTCAAACCTGCATAGGGAGATGCAACTTAAAAGCAAGAAGAGAGAAGATTCGGAATGGATTTTGACACATGCCAAAATGAAATGTCCTACAGGAACCTTACTTACTCTTTTGTTTTCTCGTCAAAATTTATCACCTTTACAACAAACCACTCATCCTTCTCAGCATCAGATTTGACTCTTGCAGCTACCTGAATACAAGGGCACATTTCAATCTCCTTAGTTTGGAGGTATATGGAACAGTATACTTTGTTATCTAGCATGGAAATAAGAGTTAAGAATGAACACAGTAAATTAGTTCTATGAACAAATATCAACAAACGATTGCGATAGAAAACACAATCTGGTTTTTGTGTTTGCTACATCATCTAAAAGCTTACCTGTTCATCTTTGAGACTAACAAAATTCTCACTGTGACTCCTCATAGAAGGAGAAAGGCGAGAGATATCTGAATCAGACTTCATTCTTTTCTTTTTCTGATCATTACCATCTGCAATTTGTTTAACGTCAGCTACATAAATAGGAAGTTCTGATACTCTTGTACTAGTATCTGAAATCTACGAAATGAGTTTTCTTTTTTGGCACATGTCATATATTCAATGTTCTAGCATTAGAAAAATAGAAAAATCATAAACACTTAATAATTTCATCCAATTGCTAAGTTTTGATCTGATTTTAACTATCATGATATAAATTTGGAGCCCATGGTCACATCAACTCAACAACTTTTAGGTCATCATCCAAGCAATTCGATGTTTCATTAAACTACTCAAAATTTGTACTTTTAGAAAGGGAAAGATAGACAGTATAAGATGGAGAAAATCAAAGTGAAGAAAATTACAGTCTTATCTTAAATCCTCTTTGGTATTTATATAATCACGACAATTAAAGGATAAGTCAAGTGCCAAGGTGGCCAAGAGATGACCTTAACTTTTGCATTATAAGAATGCATGTGTCAAAATTCCTAAGGCTTCTTTGGTTAATGCTTTTGCTTCTCGCTTTTTTTAATAGAAAGTGAAAAGCAAAAAAAAAGCCAAAACTGAAAAGAAGGTACAAATAGCAAAAACCAAAAGCACCAACCAAACGGAGCCTAATTATAAAGGGAGAAAGCAATATAGAGGTTAAAGCAACTAAAATGTCTCATATAGAAAAAGTTAGTAGCACACACCCATCTTTCTTCGTTGTTGTCCTGGCGGTCCCGAAGGCAAGAAAGAGTCAAGTTGATTTAGTAACAAGTTGGAAATCCTGTATAAAAAACAATGGAATACAGTACTGAGAATAATAAAAGGCCTATAGAACCAAACCAGAAAGTTCATCGCTACACTAGCCCAAAAATTTATAGAGAAAAAGTTGCCACATCTGCACAAGCCCAGGATTCACTAGAGAAAGAGAGAGAGAGAGAGAGAATGACAAAGAAAATTGTACAATACTTCATTAGAGATAATGAACATACGTTATTTCCCTCTCTGAAAGATCTCTAGCTTGAATATATAAACCTTTTAGCCTAGATAATGAAGAATCACCAGGTTTTTCAACTACCTCAGGAGCTGCAATGATATACAGAAGTTCAAGATTAGTATAAACTATCAGTAACAGTTAATAAAGAACAACGCCCAAAAGGTAAGAGAAGAAAGAAAAACTATTCTCAAATCTTAAAGAATACAATTTAATCTTCCATTTCCTAGACTTTTTAGCAAGTTTTCTATCCATTAAAAGTGTAGTAAATCACTTGATGCCAGAAACAATACAAAAATTGATTGGATAAATTATTGTCAAAACCTGTAAATCCTCAAGGCGTTATCCAGGAGCAACATTCATAGAAGAAGAACCAAAAATTCTTGTAAACCTTTAGTTCAAGTCAGAAACTCTTTTTGCAACTGTGGATTGCAGCAAATAAATGGGATCTAGGACGCACAACAAGCCTCTGATTTGAAATTACATAACCAAGCCACAAATCCCACCAGGTTGTGTGATCTTATATGCATCTCATAGTTTCTAAATATAGTTTTTAAATGAGAACAAGCATGTGGATCTCAAAATTCTTTTTACAATACTTCTTCTATACTCCTGGACCTGGTCGTCGACTGAAAGCACATCCAAGAAACTGCTAATCAACGTAATCCATATTGAATTGACAACAATATTTTTAGTGATCCAATTCATACAGTTAGTTGTTAATTTGTAGAATATTCTGATTTCTGATATCTTTAGTGTAAACATTCTCAATTAAATCAATCAAAACATTTTGGGAAAAAATATAGAAACTCTGAACTAAAACAACTAAATGGATATTATGAGGCACACTAATTAAAAGGTAATTATACATGAAGCTCTGAACATTAATCTAAATGTAAATTTAACCACTCTCTACATGGATTTCCAAGTATATAACGAGCATCAGCGTATCATGTGTGAAAACCACATAATTTCATTCTCCATGAAAATTAGGCCCCATTAGTTTCCAATTCAGCAAAACAGCATGTTTTGTGATCCTGAAGGCAAAACCTTTACTCCAAAATTACATGACATGGATACTCCACTTAGCTTTAAACCTCAATTTAGACCATAAAACCTTCTAAACTCCACTTAGTGGAACTTAACTTCTTTCTCAAATACAAATGTAGCTAAGTTTTAAAGCAAGTCAATAGTCAAACTGCCCAACAAAACTATTCCTCTCTTCTTTGATCAGATTACTCAAGTTTTCGTTTCTCCTAAAAAAAATCATAAATTAAAATAATAAATAATAATGTACAGCAAAAATAACTTCATGATCCAATAAAATCCATCATCAACAAAATTTAAGCTCTTTTTATTCCAAACTCACCTTAAAAAATCAGTTTTTAAATAAAAAAATAAAAACCCAGAGAGCCAAAAGAAAACCATATTTTGATAATCTAAAACAAGCCCATTAATCTTAGGAACCATATAAATCAACCCAGATCATGAAATTTGAAGCTAAAGGAAAAAGGTTGAGAAATTTACTAGCTTGAAGCTTCTTGTGAAGCTTGTTGATTTCGATAAGCACCTCTTCTTGTTCTTTCCTTAACCGATCAAGTTCCCTTGAGTTTTCCAAGATTGAAGCAATGTCCGGTGCCGACATCGTTCCTTGTTTCCGATCTTTGTCGGAAATACAATGTTGTCTGTTTTACAAGATTACTTCCAAGTTCCAGCTAGATTTTTCACTTCAACCAATCCTTAGTTTGATCAAAAGTTCTATTTTTTCTAAATAAAGTATGAATAAAAGATTAATATCAATGCTTATTATCAAGCCTATAATTGAAAAAAAAAAATCGGTGGATAATTTTGATTTTTGAGCTTTTATTTATTTTTGTTTTACTTTTGTTTTGGTTAGGTCTTAATTACAACACGTGGAGGATTATAACTGGATGTTCTTTCTGTCAAGAGTTCCTTCTTTGCCACGTGTGCGATCAAGTACCACTCTCGTAATGTTTTCGTGGGCCTCACTTGAAATAAAGTTTGGACTCAAAAGGGGAAAATTTTTTGGCCCAAAACGAAAAATGGAAATTATTGAGTGGGCTCAATTTGATTTGTATTGTTGTTTTTCACGTAATTGAAAGTTGTTGGTCCTGTTCAAATTGGGTTAATTGAGATTCACCCCCCACCTTCTCAAAATTTTATTTGAAATTGCTAATGATAAATTTTAATTATTAAAATTAAATATTCAACATTTTATTAATAAATAATAAAATTCAATTCAAATTAATTAAATTTCAAAAAATTTTGATTCAATTTTTTAAAATATATGATAATAGATATTAATCAAAATAATAAAATTAAATCCGATATAATTCGTTATCATATAACATTTATTTTACATCAATCTTCAAATGATAAACACATGAAAAGGAAGCAAATTTATAACCAAATATCCTCCTTTCCATATATATTTTTTTTGTTGCAATCTACTGATTAACAATCTTTAATTCCTCACTGCCATAGACATTATTGGTTTCCATCAGTCTTTGTCCCAAAATAAAAAGTAACTAAAGACACAGAAACCAAACCTCACCCAAAAGATTCAAATTTTGAACACTCATAAGAAATCAAAACTAAGTTGTGGTCTGTGGGGGACAATGAGACACCTGCTTGTCCTATTAACTTTCAGTCTTGACATGGAAGAACAAATAATGATTCAAAGATTTAAAACTTCAAAAGCATGAGACCAAACAGTTCCTTCCAATTATGATCAAACAACATGAAAGTCTTGAAAACAGTTTAATCTAAGCTCAGAATGGGGTCCCACCTATCTTGATATGGATTCCATGTGGTTAATTCAAACTCAAATAAGAGTCCACTAGGCTTTAAAGACATGGCATCAATCAAGGGTCCCACTTGTAACATATAGATTTGATTTGAACTTTTAATCAAACGAATCAAGTGGCAAAAGCCTTGACAGATTCTGATTGTGAAAATTTTAAAGAGCCCGACTATCCTACACACAAGAACACCTCAAAGCAGGAAAAACGGTGAAAGGAAGCTGCGCAACCTAGGACTAGTTTCAGGCCGGTTATTGGTCTTGTTGCTAAAATTGTCTATCTTCCAAGATTCAAAATTTTCACTGATCTCACTCTTCTAAGAAAAACCGAGATTGAGAATTCTCGTTTTGGTTCCATGTATGTTGTTTTTCTCATTGGGTAATATTATTTCTCTTTGAAAATAATGAGCTTTTTGTGTTTTTGAGTGTTGGATTCAATGGTTGAATTTTCCTTTTTCGATTCTTCTTATTTATTTCTTGAATAACTATGATTAACGTTTGCTTAAAATGGTTTGCTTGAATTGGAACTAAGCTGTTTTGTCAATTCCAAGACAGGGTTTTTTTAATGGTAAATGGGTTGATGGGAAATTTTTTAGCTTGGTGTTTGAGGTTAATGGAAAATTTTGTTACATTTTCAGGTGAATTTTGTAAGGAAGAACGTATAATTTTGCGTGGTTCATGTCTGCCTTTTATGGTATTTGTGTTTTTAAGTTCCTTTTTTTCTGCTACGTTAGTTGTGGGTGTGGTTAAAAAGGAAAAATTCAAGCTAGTTTTGGCCGAATTTGCTTGCTGGAAGTTCAATCATGAAACTTTGATCTTTATCCATTTGCACTGCCTCATAAAAACTTTGTTTTTTTCCAGCTTAATAAGCTCTCAGCCCTTATGTGGTGACATGCACTCCTTGTTCAGTTGTTCTTATGTTTTTATGTTGTGGCTGAAGCATAGCTTAATTGGTAGATACAACCTTTCCTCCTGTTTATCTCTATTTTGAGTGGTGAATTGGTGCTTAGGATTGAACAGTTAAACTCTACTGCTAAATTCAAGTAATAGGTCAAGTTAGTGTGTGATGAATAACCAATTTCGATAAGCCTGGCTGTTACCTGATGTATATTGCGATTAGCTGAGATTAATCTACCACTAGCAAGAGTATGATAGGAGCTAATGTTCTGTTTTTCAGCTATGTAATGTTATATTCTGTTCATACTGCCTGTTTTACATTTCTCTGACCTCAGTTGACACTAATTTTTAGTAAACCTTCTTCAGCCCTGGTTGCCATACCCTGTGGGTTATCATTTCAGTTTGAACTTCAAAGTTGATTACGGCATCTGGTGTATTAATCTTTTGTTGGGTTTCAAATTATATCTTTGTAAAAGTAGACTAAGAAGATCTTGAGCATAATGGGAGTTCCCTTACGGAGGTATTGCTTTTCATACTATTCTTGTACTAGAAACTAGAAAGCCTTTTCAATTTTTCTTTTCTATTTCCATTCATTGGTATTTTTACTTGTTCACAAGGTTTAAATAAGACCAAAAGTGGTATTAATACGAGTTACATTCTCCTTTATTCGGCTGCAGTTGTAATGTAAGGAAACCAAATGAAACAATGAGGCTTATTATAACAACTTTTGCTGGAATTATTTTTGGCTTCTTTATAGGGGTATCCTTTCCAACGCTGTCATTGACTAAGGTACACTGGTTACTCTGACTATCTCATACATATCTAGTTGTTTTCTGAATGGATTTCTTTTGTTTCCTTTTGTTTCCCCCTTTCCTGTGTTCTTGAAAATGGAATAACAAATTTATTTCTATATTTTAATTTTGGTAGATGAATCTCCCATCCAGCCTATTCCCTTCCATTGATCTTACATATATTGAGGACAAATATTCGGGCCTTTCAACCCAAGCACTATTTAATGCTTTGAACTCTCTCAAGGCTAATAAGGTCGTCTCAATGCCATCTTACAAAAACAATGAGACAAAGGTAACTCCCCTTTATTTTGATTATATATGCAGCATTACAATTCAGGATCTAGATTGTAGCCTGCCCTTGTCTTGAAATTATGAAAAATTAACCGTGATTTCTACCAAAACTGGTTGAAGATTTTTGGATAAAGAATTTCTTCATAATCAAGTTATCAATGCCATATATACACAATTTACATTGAATTATTAATTTCAGAGTTAAACAAATTTAGTTTTAGTTTTATTAGTAAATAAAGTTTGATTTATGCATATTTGATTATGGGAAATTGAAAATTTGAACCTCAGTTCTATCAACTGATGAAACCTGCTTTTCAAGCATGAGGTACTTCACAGTCCATTTTTTATAAAGTTGCTAATGTCAGCTTGGTAGCTTTGACTAGAACTTTTCAAATCCAATCAATTACCTGTAAAACTACTTGGTTCTGGATTGATGGTTTTGTTTTATCAAGGAAATTTTCATTGTTGGTTACAACCATTTTATGAAGGAAACAAAAATTAAAGATCTCGTCTATCCTTCTGGGAGATGGATCCACGCTTCTTTAAACTGTTGGTAATTTAGGCTGGAGAAATTTTGTGAATCTCTTTTACCCATTACCTTGTATATTACTTTGTGTATGCATCAAACTCTGACAGTATCTCACTGTTCTTACATTATGTGATTAGGGATAGAGGTCAAAATATGCTTAAATAATCATTAGATTAGACTTTCTTTTTCTGGCTAGTATGTGACAGTCGTCTACAGTTACTGTAACAATTTTCAAGGAAAACCTGTAACCATTAACACTTAGAGGTTTTAGCATGAGCGCTAACTGTTAATCCTTAATTATGGCAGATATGGATTCCAACAAATCCACGGGGTGCTGAAAGACTTCCCCCTGGTATAATTGCATCTGAGTCAGATTTCTATCTCCGTCGATTATGGGGTCAGCCAAGTGAGGTATGCATCTTCTACGCTTTATGTTACTCTGACTCTTCTTTATGTTTATCTATCCTAGTCTGATACACGTCAGGGAGTTTGAACTGATCGCCATCTATACACATAAGGAAGAATTTAGTAAAAGTTGAATTTGTGTTCGACAGCATATACATGTTTGACTCTGGTACCCAGATGAAGTTGATGGGGCAATGATGATTATCTATCCATTTTTCCATTGTGATTCAATTCATTTTTTTTTTCTCTATTCTAATCCTGGTTGACGGGTTGCATTTGCAGGACTTAACTGTCAAACCGAAGTATCTTGTAACTTTTACTGTTGGTTATAATCAGAAAAACAATATTGATGCTGCTGTGAAAAAGGTCAGTTCTCTCTCTCTCTCTCTATACAAACAAACACATACAACACATATAAATAATAAATATATATATATATATATATATTCTTGACTCCCTGTTCCCTAACATGTCTGTACTCTCTTATCTAAAACCTTTATTTTACAGTTTTCAGAGAACTTCACAATTGTGTTGTTTCATTATGATGGTCTAACCACTGAATGGGATGAGTTTGAGTGGTCAAAACGAGCTATTCACGTGAGTGTTCGAAAGCAGACTAAATGGTTAGCAACTAGCTCTTCTCGCTTTATAAATCTTACATTAATCCAGTAGGTTGTATGAGAATTTGTTAAGCCCAAATTTTCACTTAAACTCCTTAAATTTTCATCAAGGTGGTATGCGAAGCGCTTTTTGCACCCTGACATTGTTGCACCATATGACTACATTTTTATGTGGGATGAGGATCTTGGGGTGGAGCACTTTGATGCAGAGGAGTAAGTCTATAAGTTCACTGTCTTGCTTCGGTTATAAATACATTTGAGTAAGCTGAAATTAAACTCATTTTGTTCTCAGATACATAAAACTTGTCAGAAAACATGGTTTAGAAATATCCCAGCCAGGTTTAGATCCAAACAGTGGTGGGCTGACATGGGCAATGACAAGGAAGAGAGACAACACTGAAGTTCACAAGTAAGAGCACTATATATAACTGCTTGATTGTGGTTTCAGAATACATAATCCATAATTCAATAAGGTTGTAATGTTTTCTTTGGTAGAAAGGTGGTTTGACCTTTGGTATTCCTTTTTTCTCCTGCAGGGATACTGAGGAAAGACCTGGCTGGTGTACTGATCCACGTTTGCCTCCATGTGCAGCGTATGAAACAGAATTAATCCCTTTTGTTAAAATTTTTAAACATATTGCTTATTTCTTCAACTTTTTGCTAATTGTCTTGCATACTTAATGCTCAGATTTGTTGAGATCATGGCTACTGTGTTTTCTCGGGATGCATGGCGGTGTGTTTGGCATATGATTCAGGTAAGCCATGAGTTTATTTTTTGCGGATGTTGTCATTTCTCAACTTTTCCCTGTATATGATATAAATTCTCGTTTAAAATGCAGAATGATTTGGTTCACGGATGGGGTCTGGATTTCTCTCTTAGGAAATGTGTCGAGGTTAGCAACTGTCTTATTCCTCCTCCATCCCTTACATACATACACTCAAGACCTTTGTTGATTTTACAACTTTCTTTGCAAGCAGCCTCCTCATGAGAAAATAGGGGTTGTAGATGCTCAGTGGATTGTACATCAAAGTATTCCTTCTCTTGGGGACCAGGTACGTACATGTAAACCCATTAAACATCTATATAACCACTTCTTATGCGCAGTATGCTTTATTGCTGTTTTCTTCTTTTTTCACAGGGCCAAGCTGAGGGTGGAAAGGCACCATGGGAAGTGGTCTGCACTAAATATTCCTCTCTCTCTCTCTCTCTCTTGCACACACATATACATATATGCATGCACAATACAAAAGCGTGCTTTTCTTCCCTAGTTTATGAATCTGCAATGTTTGTTTTGATGAGAGCCTTAAAAGTTCCAAATTTCCTGTGCCAGGTGAGGGAAAGGTGTAGGAAAGAATGGACTATGTTCCAAGATCGGATGACCAATGCTGAGAAAGCATACTATGAAGCAATGGGAATGAAACCTTCCAATTTAACAGCACATTAATGGCTATGGTATTAACACCGGCCATTAGAGTTGTAAAAGTTGCTTCTAGATGCGATGGCAACTTCTATTTTTGTTGAGAAAAAAAGGTGACTCGGTCCTATTAGCAGATATAATGTACTTGTAGAAGTCACATTCATGTTCAGTACAGTTCTATCAATGTTAATATTATATTTTTGGGTAATTTTATTCATAATGTTTTCATCTTCTTCATTGGTTTACTTGCCAAGGTGTTATGTCATGAAAAGTCTTCTTTCTTTTCTTCTTGAAGTTCTATAGAATTGCAAATTGGTAATTGCTCTAGATCATTAGGCATTCACATGAGACGGTCACCTCAGGATGAACTGAAAAATCTATACAATCTTGAAAATTACCCTGTAGAACTAACCAAAAAATGAATGCTTTTACATTTTTAACTGTTATAAACCAAAAGAGTTAAATATGTCAAATGCCCAAAGATTAGTGTAATGGCTCTGAAGCTCTTGAGATGCAGAAGGTAGTTAGAAATAACCATTAGTGATTGCTTCTTCTAGTTCTTTGAACTCCCATAATAAAATTCATGCATTTTAGAATAATAAAGAAAAACCACCTATCAATTAACAACCATTGATCATTAATTCTATAATTGCTCAATAAATGCCCAAGCAATGCCTGTAATGCTCTTCATTTGTAGATGGTACAGAAATCTCCTAGTTTGACAGGGTCTTGAGATCGACATTATTTAGACATGAAGGAACAAGCTGTATTGGTTGGATAATAAATCCAGCTTTTTGACATACATCTTCAAGAAGTTTCACTTGTGAAGGCCCATCAGGGCAGAACACAACCACAGCTCCTCCACTGCCTGTAAATTTCGAAGCAGCACCAACTCTCCGAGCCACCTCCACCATTTCTATGTTTAAAGCACCTAGGCACTCGTCCCCAAACATGCGCCTGCATAAGATTCACATAACGGCATTCAGCAGAAAAATATATACCAAGAACAACTTAAATGGACAATCCTTGGTCAGAATGTCATGGTTAGTTGTGGTCGTGACATGCAAAAAATCTTACCTTCGGAGGTCAAAATTACGATTCATGAGTTCTGCAAGCTTTGGATAATTCTTTTCAAGTATCACACTCTGCCCTTCTGCTATGTTTGCAACTTCTGTCATCGATGATATGATAAACTCATCGCCATTAAGCCACCTCTGTCGCACAGTGCTATGTACCTGCATTCGAAACAATATGTGCTCATTTCACTACTTCCAGAAGTCATGCCATAAAAGAGGAAGTAAAAGCCATCCTGCTAACCTTCCCAGAATCACTTGGATTCTCAGCGTAAATGACATGGAGAGGTGGTAGAAGACTAATATCCATTGGGGTGTAGATGCCATGTCCCAACTTGTCCATGTTTTCCTTGCTAAAATCCTACAGAAGAATCAGTGTGCATGCATAAATTACAACGTTTACAAAAATTTGTCGATAAGATTACTTAAAGATAACATACCATGTGGACAAGGCCTCCATAGACCTGTGCCACCCTATCTTGGAGGCCAGCAACGATTCCAAGTTCTACCTCTGCACTAAGGGTAAGGTTGGGTCTGACTTGTACTTTAATCAAATGTCTGACCTTGTAAAAATCAAGAAGGCAGCTAAGGGCAGCACATCCGATAGCACTCGACCCTGAAAGTCCTGTCTGAAAAATCACTAGTGTAAACCATATATTGCTGTAAGAATAACACAAGAACATTACACCGACAGAGAGAAATTGAAAAGAAAAAAAAAATCATAACTGAAATGGCATGATGAGTTTGATCGAAAGAGTATACAAATTTCTTGTATTTGCTATTTGGAGCTCCACCTGGCGAGGGATATTGGTATCATACGATAGAGTGAAGTTCCCCTGTTGGAGATTTATATTGTTATCCTTACAATGCTTATCGAAGACCTTACAAATTGCCATAAGCGGTCGTACACCTCCATAATAACCTACACTTTCCAACTGATATACCTGCAAGTAAAACAATGTGTGCTTCAGCCCCATTCATGTCAAATCCGCAATGTAGATATATATACTTGTGAATGCAAGTGGAATCAGACATAATTCATGGGAAATTGGATTTTATTCCATTGTTGCAATGAAAAATCTCATTACTAAAGCAGCTTAAAAGGGACAACGCAAAAGCATGTGGCTTGTATTATCATTTGTCAGATTAAAGCCCAAATTGCAGTACCAATTCCAAAAAAGCAAACATGTGTGTGTGTGTGTATATATATATATATATAATATTTTTATATATGTCGAGATGCATATTAGCATCAAAAAGCCCAAACTGCAGAACCAATTCCAAACACTTCATCAAAAATACTAGCCAAGTAGGATTTCGTATATAATATAGTAAGGAGGTTTTCATATAAAATCATTATCATTGACATTATCCATCTTAGATAATTAACATCAGGTGCAAAAACCAACAATTCGCAATCTGGGTATTTTCTGAATTACCTTGGAATTGTTGATATAACCAAAATAGTCAGATTCAATCTAGCCAAAGAAATAAGAGAGAAATAGAGAAAAGAAAAAGAAAAACTCATCAGATCCTACAAACATAAACACCCAACAATGCAGAAGAAAATCTTAAGACTGCAAGAGAAAGAAAGTACAAGGTGATCCAGAGAGTTAAACTGAACAAGATCATGAGTAGGATGAGGCTTGATGACAAGATGATGTGAAGGCTCCAATTTAACCGAAGCCCAGAAGTTTCCAAGGCTAAAAGAGATCGTTTTCCCAAAGTAAACATCACTTGGATTCCCAAGCAATCCAACAAGAGCACAAGCTCTGTGTTGAATCATTCCTGCAACACCTGCTTCAGTTGAGTTCATCTTATCCATATTTACTGCATGCACACCAACAAACCTTCGTTAAGAAAAAAAAAACCAACAAGTCAACAACAACAAACCTTTGTAGTTTTTGCTTTTTTGTTCAGGGTCCAACGTGGTTAAAGTGGCATTGTTTAAGGTCCCCACTTGTATTTGAATCTATCGGGTCATTGAGTAAAACATGCAACTGCATCTGTTCATATCACTGTAAGAGTCTATGAGTAAAACATGCAGCAGCATTTGCTTTTGTCGCTATAAGTTTAACTCGACCGTTGTTTTTTCTGCCGACTTAACTTCGCATTCACATCTTACTGGAGGTTACGGTTAAAAATTGTTGGTTCTAAAAAATTTATGCACGTAATTTTTTTTAATTAAGGATTAAAGATAATTAAAATAAAAAATAAAACTCGAAAGCGCTTTTTTTCATGATCAGGCAAAGCCTTGGAAAATCCTAAAATTGGAACCCAACTAAGTTATTGCCTAACTTATTAGACGGATATTTTGTTTAAAATCCAATGCGTGTGAACAAGAAAAATTAAATTAAATAGAAGAATACAAAACTGGGACACTGAGATTTTCCGATTGTTTGCTTCCCAAATTCCCTTTAATAATCATCTCACATGGTGATGAGTAAAGCTTGATAACTGACAAGATCTATAGGAATCGTAATTTAAATCCAAATGAACAAAGATTAGTTAATCCATAGTGACTAATAAACTGTACAGTTCCCCACGAAATGTACAAACACAACCAGCAAACCTCAATAGAGGTTGAAGAAGACATTACATTTGATCCTACTAACACAAGCTCCATCAGTCTTCATCCTCTTCATCATCTTCAGGAAGCCCCATATTATCTCCGATACCTTCAAGCAGTTTGTCCACGTCCTCGCCTAATTCCGATAACCTTGCACTCAACTTTTCCACCTTGCTTTGCTCTTGCCCTAGGCATACGAGTAAATCATTCAGCTCTGCTTCGCTTTCCTTCTGGGCTTCTTCCCTAGCTTCAGCTTTTATTGCCTCGATATCAGGAGAGGTTGATGCCCCTCCGCTCTTCAAAGCTTTCACCTCTTTTTCAAGGTGGAGATTGGTCTGTTCAAGACTATTGTAAGCATCTGATAGACCCTTAAGATCAGACTCCAGCTTCCCAGACAAATTCTGGTACATTGATGCCTCTGATTCAATCTTAGCTTTCTCCGCCTTTAGAATCTCTAGCCGTTGAGAAGCCTCCTGAAGATCTCTACGAAGTGTCTCTGCCTGGACTCTATCTGAGCCATTGCCCACCCTTAGCTCAGGTTGAGAATGCCCACTCCCACCTGTCCTAGCCAAATCCTCAGCCAAAGTGGCATTCCTGCCAAGAAGTTCCTAGAAATGAAAAGCAAAAGGAAACAGAAGATCAGATAGGTAAAAACATTTGAAGCTAATTGACAACCATAGTGGTGAATTTTCAAAAGACGAAAAGAATAATTGCAGATGAAACAAAATATCAATTCATACACGTCTTTAACAGTAAAGTTATTTCCTACTAAAGATTTTTTTTTTTTTTCAGTTTCCTATTACCTGTATCTCAGAGCATTGTTTCTCCACAAATGCTTTTAGCCGCTTGATATAGTCCTTGTCAGTTTCTCCACCCTTTTGTTCCATTTCTGCAGGCACAACAGCCACATCACTCTTAGGGCGACTGTAAACATCCACAATGTTCTCTCTAATATACACTTCCAAACTCTTCACAAAATTAACAAACTGAGTATCAAATATTGATGTGAGGATTGGGTGATCCTCATTCTTCTGATCTGACAAATCACTCTCATCAACATCTTCAATCTCTGCCATACTAGCAGCAGTGGATCTTGTCAATCGTTTATGGGACTGAGCGGGCTTCACTGAAGAGAAAAGGAAGCTTCTCTGCATCTCATCAAACTTCAAAAAGTAAGATGTAAGCCCAATTTTCTGGCTTATGGCATCAGCTATGGTAGAACCATCCTTTCCACTATCACTAGATTTATTGTAAATCACACATTCTCCCAAGATAATTGCAGCCAACCCCCTAATACACACAGTTGATGATGTGTTTGACACCAACTCAAGCAGATAAGTTAAGTGGGGGCGTGAATCTAAGAAGCATTGCACTGCACTTGGGCAATCTGCTAGCCAAGTGACGAGCAGTTTCAAGATAATTGGTTGAACATACGAGTAACCTGGCTTCCCATCTTTATTTTTCATGGAAGAGGCAACAGCCAAGTACCTAACAATACGGTGCAATAGTAGCTCAGGAGCTCCTAAGGATGGCATTGGCGCTTCAAGTTCAATCCGTAGAACCTGCACAATCTCCATTGCAATTAGATTACAGAGAAATTTGGCTTTAGATTTAGATATAAGTGAAAATGTGACAGCATACCCTTTCCTTGCATTGAGTATTGTCCTTAAGAATGTGAGTAAGCACACTAGCAGCCCTGCAACAAGTCTGTACTTCACAATATCAGCTGGATAATTCTCAGGCAGTAAGCCACATGAAGAAAATCTAATATTCTATATGATGGAGATTAATATTTATAAAATCTTCATGCAATATCATGAGATAGTCCAACAAATTTAGGCCCTCTGTATTGTTCTTTTTCACTAAATTGATGATGCACAATGAAAAAAGTGAGAACATGAGGTTACCTCAAGATCACCATCGCTTTCACTCAATGCAAGACCATGTAACAGCATGCTGTCACATATACAACATAATTAAATAATTTCATTAAATGAAAGTGTTTATATGAAAGAAGCAAACAGCCAAGTAATACCTTAAGATTTAACTAACTCCATAGAGTTCAATACATTTTCCTAGTCTGAACAGCTGAAATATAGAAGTGCAGAACAGAAAGCATTATAAGAGCGAACAAACCTTCCAAATGACATGTTCACATCCTCCTCAACAGAAGCATGAGTCATCGAATTTGGTTGAGGAATTAATGTGGATGCTAACATCGCTTGCCCTTCCATGTTTTTCTAGAAAATAAGATCCAAAATTAACAATCAAGAAAAAACAGTTCACATACATGTGAGATACTTGTAAATTACATAGGCATATTTATTAACAAAAGAAAAATATGAAGTCAAGAGAAAAGCTGACCTCACAAAAGTTCTTAAAAACATGGTCAGCCGCAATAAACTCTTGCGTACTAGATGTTCGCAAAATGATTCGAAGAATAGAATTCAAAGCAGGTTCTACTTGTGGCTCCTCACCAAGAACTTTGCTAGAAAGGGCATCCAGGTTCTTGGGATGCCCAGCAACCAAATCACCAATGCACCTTAGTGCCTGGGAAAATAGAACCATTAGAGAAGGGAATGCTGAAATGAAGAAGAAGAACAAGAACAAATCTAGAAAGATATCTTACTGAACAGCGCACAGCAATTGGAGCCCATTGGCTTTCAACACCCAGCATTAGCAGATAGTCCAACAACTTTTTCTACAATCAAGAAAACAGGCAACAAGATAATCTAGCACAGAAACAGATAGCTCTTCAGGCAATCAATTCAAGCAGATATGATTTGTAATAAACCTGAACTAGGACTGTTTTATTGGTGATCTTGTTCGAATCTTTTTGAGGATCAGCTTCTGAACCTCCCATCATCAACAAATTAATAGTCTCCAACACACCGAGTAAATTAATTGTCTACTGGCATGTTGTTTGTTTCATGGACAACAAAAATCACCAGTAAGCTTGTGATAGCATGTGAAAGAATCAATAGGAATTGGCAATGGAGGAAAAACAGAAGCCATAGAACGGTATAAACACTTGAGTATCTAACCTTCTGTTCAGTGAAACTGTAAGTACTTCCTCTTAGTTTCAGGATTGATATTAATGGGTCAAAGCCCATAGTCTCCCTTAGTAGTACCTGAGATGCACTTAAAATCAGTAGCAGAGAAAACCTCATAAATGAAAAATAACAACAATGAAAATAAAACATGGAGTAAACCTGATTCGATGCATTACTGCGAAGAAGATTGTTCAGCAACTCAAGACAGTCCTGTGCAAGAACAATACAAGAACCTCATTAATTCATATATAGATTTCTCCAACAGTAGTATAGCAAAATTAGATTGACTGCATGCATGACTTAGATAAACAGGCCACAGACAATAAAAATTGAATGGTCTAACAGCAAACAAGCCAGATGAAGTTCACTGAAGTTCAAAAAAATAAATTCAATGAATCACCTGCACAACGACACCCCCTTCAGAACCTCCTTCCTCCTTAACAATACTAAAAATTTTTTCAAATGCACCTTCGAAGACTACAATCTTTTGAATCTCCTGAAATCAAAAAACTCTCTCTGTTAGTATGGCAATCAAACATATGTAAGCAAGGTTCAGGTGCACAAAGGAAAAAAAAAAGGAATATGAAAGGGCAGAAGAGAGGGGTATTAAACAAAACCAGAAGCTCACCTCAGCTTCACGAGTCAAGTATGTAAGAAGCAGTAAGGCTTCATTTCGTATAACCTGGAAGGTCAATAGCGATCAACTTCATAAAAAAGAAAAGCAATCACATAATATCATCATTATCCTATCCTAATCAAATTGAAAGATAAGTTTCAAATTTAGATATTCATGTTTGATAATATAAATCTAAGTAAATGACAGAAAAAACAGAAATAAGGTAATATAACCAGAAGGTTCCCGAAGAATCATATTGCACCAAGCAGGCCTACAAAAAGCAGAACATGGAAATTAACAAAATTTGCAAGAGGATCATGTCATTAATAAGCTGTGTACCTCACGGTCCATCAGCATATCCATGAGCCAAGTTATACCACGAGGAATGGACAGAATTGCTTCCTGCAACCTGAATGGGAACTCAGCAAGAGGTTTTCGAGCAGAAACCAATAAAAAAAAATCTAGGTAGAATAGAAGGGATTTCTGTAAGACTCATACCTACTTGGAGAATTAGTAAGAAGGGCTGTCAAAATTTGAAGAGTGTAATATCGTACATAGAAATCCTCCTCTGACTAAAATATCACCAACACAGAAGATAATGATGCTATTACAAGAAGGATCCACAGTAACATATAAACTAGTTCTAGATGCATATAAAGAACTCTCACCAGCAAACTTAGTAGAAGAGAAATGCTCTCTGATTCTCGGGAAAGCAAATCAGTATTCATTAAAGCTGGCTGAACCTCATTCGTAGAGCCTTTTGCATGATCAATAGGT